CGGCCCAATTAATTTTTTTTTTTTGTTCTCCTATTTAATCCCCTACCCCTCCCCCTCAACCCCAAACCATCCCAAACCACCTCAAATGGCCCAAAATACCTAATCCAACCTAAAATTTAAAAAAAATTCAAAAAAAAAAAAAAAAAAAAAAAAAAATCCGGCCCGGACCGGGCCCGAACCGGCCGGGCCGGTTCACCAAAACCTGGGCCCGGGCCCGAACCGCCCAGCAGCCGGGCCGGGCCGAACCGAACCGGCGGACCCACCGGGCCCCGGGCCGGGCCGGGCCAAACAGTAACCGGGCCGGGCCGGTTCCGGGCCGGGCCGCCCGGCCCGAGTCCAGCACTAGATAAGCTTGAGAATCCATTACCTATTTGGAACCGCTAATCCTAAACAATTCCCTTTCTAGCATCTCTTTTTTTTGTCAAACCGACCAATTTTTGGACGAAACGTCATTTTGGCAAACAAGTGTAGATGTACACTTTAATAGGATCGGGGATATGGGGGAAATGGGCAAGTGGTGTGAAGAGAGTTAAAACGGTAATGTTGTAAATGTATAATTAGAAAAAGTTATATTTGAAATTTTAACATTGATTATTTATCAAAAAAGAAAATGGTAACTTTTACTTTGAGACAATTCAAAGGGAAAATGCAATTTATATTTGGAAAAATTGAAAATAATAATCTCAACTATTGTCAGTCCGCTAACAATAATCCCAACCAGTGGAGGAGCTGGGCGGGGGCATACAGGGGCAAGCGCCCCCGCTTCGGGCCAAAAATATCAGTACTACTACTTATAACATATTTAATATTCCTATTCTTTTTTCAAAAATAAATACTCATTAAAGACAATTTTAGATTAAGTATTAAAATAAAATGCAAAATCTTTCACAAAACATGTCTCTAGGAATACAAGTACGTATTGACTGTAGCGTACGTCACTCATTTGAATGCAAGTGTGGATTGTTTTAGACCTTTAATGCCGCACGAGTTGACTTTTTGTGGTTATAGTGCAAAAGAGTACTGGGATTAACGAATATGTTGTCGCACTTCTTGAAACAAAATGATCAAAACATTTTTGAGACTGTGTTGGATTCCCTCCTTAATGGAAAAATTCATGAAAATATTAGAATTTGCAAAGATGTCTAGGATTTTGTATATGCGTGTAGAGAAGTATTGAATATTCTAGAATAATATTGGTAAGTTTTCTCTAAAAGTGTGGAACTCACTAAAATGGTGAGGAAGAGTGTGAAAGCCTCTAAAACATTTTGAAGAATTGTGGAGTTCTCTAGATCCTTCCATTAGATTAGAGAAAGTTGTGGATACTTCTCGGAAGAATGTAGATGTATAATGGTGTATAAACAATTCTAAAGAAGTTTTGATGAGATTAGTATAGATAGGGGTAAGACTGCTCATTTCTATGAGAACCTTTTGAGTTTTGAGAGTGTGGATGAGTGTACAAGAGTCCTATGAGCTCCTTTTCCTTTGCAAAATTTTGAACATATTAAAACTCGTATGATTGATTTACCCAAATTATATATATGAGTCAAGTAAAATGTAATGACTAATTTGTGCTAATGTATTACATTTTTTATAGTTTTAATTATATTTTGAGAAAATACATCATAAATCTTAGCCTTTGTGTATGCCCCTCCTTCGTAAAATCTCTGACTCCGCCACTGATCCCAACTATTGATTATTTTTGTATAATCCCAATTACATGGACCGTCTGTCAATAATGGTTCATGACCAGATAACAAGTGAATTTCAAATAGAAATTAAACGTAAAAATTAAAAGTTATGATTATTTATAGGGATTACTTTTTATACCCTAATCCACTTTAGAAACTATAATTTATTTATAGCAAGTCACGTTGTACCATTATTGGAGAAATGTCCCTAAAGTTGGGATTATTCTGAAATAATCGATAGTTGGGATTATTATGAGCGGGCCGTCAATAGTTGAGATTATTACTATCAATTTTTCCTTTATATTTTGGAACAGGAGTAACATATACCTAAATGGTTCCCCGACCTTGGCATGCAATTCAATATGTAATTTTCACAATTATTGTGCATTTAATTGTCATATTTGAACTTGTGTAGTTAAAGCTTTAGCTTGACCAATAATTTATTGTCATTCAATATAATTCACAATATGAAAAGAAATAATTACATAAATATGACCAAAATAAAGATGGTTTACAAAAATATGATTCATTACTAGAGTAGTAATGAAATCATAGTAATTCATGTTCAAGTTTTGAACTTAAGTTACCACAGCATTATGTTGTAGTAATGAATAGTCATATTTATGTAAATAAGTTTTATTTTAGTAATATTCTTGTAAAAAACTCATATGAAAATGCATATCATATTTGTTAAATTTACTTAGACTATATAATCTATAATTTAAAAGCGGACGGGAGCCTAGGGCAAGGCGTAGGATTTGAAGGGTTTTGCCAGGGACGACGGCGGCCTTTCTTTGACGGTAAGGGGAGGTAGAAGGGTGTTCTCGGATAGGGATTTGGAGTAGATATCTTCTCTCGATCGGTAGGAGTAGTTTTGCGGTGGCGGATGCTTGCGAGTAGGAGCTTTCTTCTGTGAAGATGCGGTCCAGCCCAGCTGGTCGCCAACTCACTCTCCCTTACGGGAGGTCTCGGGTTCGAAACTCAATAGAGTGAGTTTCAGCCCTGATTAATCCCACCGACGTCCCCTGGAGTATAAAAAAGGAGCTTTCTTCTGTATGAGCATGACCTTGTAAGACTGTGCAAGTTTGGTAGGGGGAAGAAGGCGATTAATGCACGTGATGAGATAGAGAGGTTGGCACAGGCTTACGACAATATGGAGATGGACAAAGAAGATGAGACATATTGGTGGAAGCCATAGCTTCAGGTGCAGTGGATGGGAGTCTAGTGCTTGTCGGTACTATCACATCGTAAAAGTCAGGTATGGCCGGTGGAAAAGCATTGTTCCCAACAAGTAGCAGATTGAAGACAAGCAATAGGTTTGGTGAAGTGCAGAGTTCAGTCGGGGATGAAGTATCAATCACAGCGGTCCTGATGGCCCGACCTTCGGCCTCGTGAACCACCACCATGGAATGAAAGAGTTGGAGTTTTGGTTGTTCGTGAAAGATCTCAGCTAGAAAGGATCAAGAATAATGGAGCTTGACAAGTAGTGGCAGTCTCGTTTAGTTTGCACTTTAATAATTTTATCTTTCAGTTTGTCATTTATATTGGACTTTTTGTGGTTTGTGTGTGTTGCGCGTCTGTGGTGGGTAGGATTTTTATGTTGAGAAGTAAGAAGGCTTCAAAAGTCGAGTTAATCTTCAAATCTCTCGCAGGGTTAGCGACTCAAACTGCTCTAGCAAGGGTAGTCGTTTTTGTGTCTAATAAGAAGGTGAGGGGGCCTTCGGGTTATGGTGAGTCTGGTATAAAATTGTTTGTTTCAAATTATGTGAACATACAGAAGTTTTTCTTTATCAAAACAATTAATTCTAAAAATGTTTTCATTTAGACTTGCTTCAATTTGAAATCACACCAAACATAAATAGATCATAATATCAAATATAAATAGAACAAACTACACCACAAACTTTCAGTCTCAAAACTAAGGGAAAACTGTCAATTTGGTTCTTGTACGTTCATGAAAAAGTCAATTAGGTCATCGGACTTACTTTTAAAAAAATTAATCAAATCCCCAAACTTCGTAAAAAAGTTCAATTGAGTATATTTGCAAGTCATTTGCCATGTCAACAGGTCACCCATTGACGTGGCGCACACATGGTAAGTGACCTGCAAATGTATTCAATTGAACTTTTTTACAAAGTTCGGGGATTTGATTGGTTTTTTTTTTATAAAAGTACGAGAATTTAATTGATTTTTTTAGTGAAAGTACGACAACCAAATTGACAATTTTCCCCAAAACTAAAACTCCTATTGGAATTGTTTTTTAAAAGAAGGCGGCTTAAATTATGATAACAGAACATAAACAGGTTACAAAATGACAACAAGCCTTCTATCTACGTCCGCCCTAGAACCAGACTTAGAAATCAATCACCTTCCACGTGTGTGTCACGTCAGCAAAGTTATTGCTGATCGGGCTGATACATGTGTGCCACGCCAACGGTGACCTACTCACATGGTAAGTGACCTGCAAATGTATTCAATTGAACTTTTTTACAAAGTTCGGGGATTTGATTGGTTTTTTTTATAAAAGTACGAGAATTTAATTGATTTTTTAGTGAAAGTACGAGAACCAAATTGACAATCTTCCACAAAACTAAAACTCCTATTAGAATTGTTTTTTAAAAAAGGTGGCTTAAATTATGATAACAGAACATAAACAGGTTACAAAATGACAACAAACCTTCTATCTACGTCTGCCCTAAAACCAGACTTAGAATCAATCACCTTCGTAGAAGCAATTAGATTTGTTGATCCCGTTTTGGGATTAACCGAGCTAATGCCTTGCAAACCAGACTTCTTGTCACCTGCCCTAGGTTCTAGAGTTTTCTCGCTGGAAAAACACGGCACAACCAAAACAGAATAAAGATCCAAATAAAAACGAAACATGAAGAAATTTAAAGTAGCAAAATAAAATTCTTGAACCCTAGCACCTCGTTCAACCTCTGGCGGTGCTTCAGGAGGAGGGCGGATCACCGTTATGATTGTTGATGCGGAGTGGATTGAAGCATCAACCAATCAGTGGATTCCTCTTGTGTTGCCTCCCATCCGTCGTGCTCACTACCCAACCATCTCCGACGGAGCATCTACCCTTCCCGATTAGCCCTCCTGTTTGGCGATGCTCTCCTGCCATCACCTTGTTCTCGATTGGTGGCTTGGAAATCGTCATCATCGATTGGTAATTGAGTCCGCACATAACCCTACCCGATTTGCGCTCTTAGTGATGTTCGGAAACTCGCTACGCCGTTGAAATCTGCTCCTAAATCACTCGCTGCTATAAGAAGGAAGTTCGGATCAGGGGGCTATCGTTACCGCCGGAAGAAACACCCGGGGAATAACCCTAGAGACGGGCGGCGTAGGATCTTATATCTATTGGAATTGGTTATTAATTTACATATGACGTTGTAATTTATTCAGTGTTTGTCTAGTTTCAAATGGGTTAGAGAAGTTATTTAATGGTTGCTAATTGTAACTAAACTAGAATAAGCTTTGTTTGCTGTGATTCTTGTATTTCTGTTTACTATTGTTTCATTTCAGTTTGGTTTAAACGATAAGAGCGGAACAACCCTAACCCCGTCGCCGCCCGCCGCCCGCCGCCCGCCGCCGTTCTCAGGCACTCCTGTCTGCCGGTATCTCCTCTCTGAAATGTCGTTTAGACACGTTGCAAGATCCAGAGTCTTCATTTCTCTGATCTCCACTACACAACTCTACCACTCACCTGCCGCCGCGGCGAAACTCTCATGTCCTTGTCCTCCCTTGGCGTCACCATTTTTTCCGACCTTCCACTCCGGAAATGGCCGCGGGTACCACGACGGGCGGCCCAGAGGCCCGCTGTGGAGAGGGAAGAAGATGATAGGAAAAGAGGCTCTTTTCGTGATACAAGGCGTGAAGAGATTCAAAGACGAAGAAGAGAAGCTGGACAAGTTCATGAAAACTCACGTGCTTCGGCTTCTGAAATTGGACATGATTGCGGTACTCAACGAGCTCGAACGGCAAGAGGAGGTCTCTCTCGCGGTAAAGGTAATTGCACCAATTTTTCTGTTTATCTGCAATGGATGGATGAATTTCAGATTTGACAATGAATGACAATTGTTACTACTTCAGATCTTTAAGGTGATTAGGGAGGAAAAGTGGTACACTCCAGATGTTTATCTGTACAAGGACTTGATAATCGCATTGGCTAGACGAAAAAAGATGCAAGAAGCGATGGAGTTATGGGAGAGCATGAGGAATGAAGATCTGTTTCCAGATTCACAGACATATACTGAAGTTATTAGAGGGTTCTTGAGGGATGGGTCTCCAGCAGATGCGATGAATGTTTATGAAGATATGAAGAAATCTCCATACCCACCAGATCAGTTGCCTTTCAGGATTTTGTTAAAGGGGCTTTTGCCACACCCTTTGCTCAGGAACAGGGTGAAACAAGACTTTGAGGAGATCTTCCCCGATCAGCGTGTTTATGATCCTCCAGAAGAGATATTTGGTTTAAGCTGATCCAGGTATAGATGCATGTATGCATCTTGAATCCAGTGTTAGATTTAATAAACGATTACAATTTACAAACTTCACTCCATCTAATGATATTTGTATGACTTTGAACTAGCTAAACAACCTCCCTATTCTTCTAATGTGTGTAATTGCAAGATGTAGAGATGGTTTTGTAGCCTTATAGCGGACTAACCAGAACAAGAAGTTTTCTTTGAATGGCAGACAGGAAGCAGAATGAGTATGTTTTTCTTTTCTTTGAACAAATGGCAGATATGAATTTTAATTTTTCCTTTCAAGAAATTCAACCAAACTACCGAAACAGGCTCACATACTCAAGATGGTGTTTAAACATACAACAGCGCAATTAGTGTATAAGCATCAACCAGAGGGAGCTGTGGGAAGTGCTGATGGGGCTGAGATACATCCCAACTTTTCAGCTCTTAGAATGTGTGACACTCTTCTTGCACTGTTTTTTGCATCCAGGAAAAAGAAATCTCAAATTATTCAAACTTCAAAGGCAGTTTTGGTAGATTAGGAGGCTTTCTTCCGGCCATGAGAAGACTTCTGATTCGTAGGATGTAATTGTATAATCTATGAATGTGAGAACTCGGTCGGACTGACTAATGGGCATTTGTAAGAATCAATATTCATAGGATATCAATTCTCAAAACCACAGCTTGTGTATCTAAGTTTGTTCAATATGTTATGGCTGAAGCGGACTTTGGCTGATCAATCCGATCAGTTCATCTATTGTCAGCAAGTAGGATGGTATTGACTCTCACATGAAACGCACATCGAATTATACAAGGTAAGGATGGACTCGGGCCGGGCCAACCGGCCCGGAACCGGACCGGCCCGCTACTGTGCGGGCCCGGACCGGCCCGGTTAACCGGTTCGGTTCCGGTTCGGGCCTCCCGGCCCGGTGGTATACCGGTCCGGGCCCGGGCCTCCAGTTTAGTGAACCGGCCCGGCCGGGCCGGACCCGGTTCGGGCCGGAATTTAATTTTTTTTTTTTTTTTTTTGAAATTTTTTTTAAGTTTTGGGTTGGATTAGGTATTTTGGGCCATTTGGGGTGGTTTGGGGTGGAGGGGGAGGGGTAGGGGGTTAAATAAGAGAAGAAGAAGAAAAAAAAAATAAACATTCCGGGTGGCCCGGCCCGGCCCGGCCCGGTTCTGGCCCGGAACCGGAACCGGAACCGCCCACCACCGGTTCGGGCTCGGGCCTCCTTTTTCTGAACCGAGGCCCGGCCGGGCCCAGGCCCGAACCGGGCCCGAACCGGAACCGGTCCACCCCTAATACAAGGCATAGTAGTAGAACTCGAGATCCTAGCAGGATTGGAAAATGAATCAAAGGTCATAAATTGCAAGATCGTAACCCATCTGTAAGATCCTATTATATGTGTTCCAACACATAACATGCTACACAGTATATGACTATGTGTTCTACCAATTTCATACACATAATTTACGGGGCATATTAATGTATATGTATGTATTGCCTGCGCTAGCTACAAAACCATGAACAAGTACTTCTCTTATATAGTTAATAATGAAGTTAAAAATGATGCGTAATTATTTATTTGTTAAGAAAGTAAAATTATCTTTTATAAATTAAAATAATAGAAATTGTCTCATGTAGCTAGGGATGGACCTGGGTTGGGCTCGGGTGGTACCCGTTTTGGAAAAGTGGAGACCGCTACCAGATGATTTGCTCCGGTATCGGTTCTGGTCCAGGCCCAAATAGAATTGGGCCCGGATTGGTACTCACCCATATAATAAATAAATAAAATAGTCGTTGTGTCGGGACCGTCAGAAATCAAGCTCGAAACATGCCCCTTATAACCAATGGTCCGGGTACCAGGCTAGTACTGGTCCCCGGAAAATCTGGCTCGAGCCGGTACCAATAGTACCTGTCGCGGCGGCCCAGGCCCAGTCCATCCCTACATGTAGCCATGTAGGAGTAAAACAAGGTAGAAATTCTTAAATAGGATTGATCATGTATGTTTTCCCCCTAAATAGGAGTATCTTACATTCTTACTCCTATTTTAAAACATAAGCAATTTTTCATTGGGAAAGTTCCCGAAATAGGACTAAAACAGTTTGGAAATTCCAAAATAGGATTGTCATGTTTTTTATTCCCAAAATAGGAGTAATTAGTGCCAAGTTTGGAAAATACTGTCATGTTTGAAGTGTGGTACTGCCAAAACATGACAGTAATTAGTCCTATTTTAGGAATAAAAACATGGAAATTCTATTTTGGAATTTTCAAACATTTTTTGTCCTATTTTGGGTAATATCACTTTTTCATTCCATTCGGTTATTGCACCTTCTCCCTAGCACATTAGATCTCCCATGTGGCCATGTGTACATCCTTCTCCCCCTGCACATCATATAGATACACTTCATCGCATTGTTTGCATGTCATCGTCGACTTCATCCCATGGTTGTCATTGTTGACTTCACCTGTGCATCAGACCGATCGACTTTTCTCTCATGGAGCCATCGACTTCACCGCACACCACCACTATTGAAGTTTCTTCTTCCTCTACTTTTTGAGTTTTAACATTGATTTTTTGAGAAATTTTCGAAATAGGAGTACAAATGCAGAGGATTTTAAAATATAATTGTCATTTTTTATTTTCTAAATAGAACTAATTGTCGTCAAATTTGAGAAATATTATCATGTTTAAAGTCTGATACTGCTCAAACTTGATAGTAATTGCTCTTATTTAGCAAATAAAAACATGTTAACTTTATTTTGGAATGTACAGAAATTTTTAGTCCAAATTTATGACAAATTTAACATGATAGCTTAATATATTCCATATTTATGACAAAAAATATGTACATTCACAATCATATTATGGCAGAAATGATTTTGTGTAAATTATTATTTCCTGCTTTTTTGTCATTAGGTTCGTATTTCTAGTTTTTAACTGTGTTAGAATGTTTTTAATCGGATTCAAATTTGTGGGCATTATCTGATCTGATTTAGTAAATTTCCTATCTCTGAGTGTTTTATTATTATGAAAGTCTTATTTGATCTGTTTACATCTGATTTAGTCTGTTTGAGTCTGATCTAGTTTGTTAATGAAAATGGTTCAACCAAAAACATTCTTAGAGTGCTTATTCTATTAAAAACACATATTTTCCAAACATTTGGTTATTGACTTCATACTTTTACCAAAACTATGGTAATTTTGTGTTAAGATTCTAAGATAATCTACCAATTTTATGCCAGATTTAAAAGTTCTTATCCACGATAGATTTTAAATGAATCTTCAAGCTAAATTTGCCAACTTAATGACAGATTTATGGCGCCCGAATTGCGATAGCTGTAGGGATGGACCGATGGACTAGGACGGGTCAGTCCGATCTGGGCTCGGCCCAGCCTAGTCCTCCTTAGGCCAAGAGCCCAACCCAGTCCCGGCCCCGTGGCCCGGGCCTGATTGCACTATTTTAATTTATTGATTAATCCATCCCGACCCAGTACCGTTTAGGCCCGGCCCGGTCCGGGTACAAGCCCGGGACAGTACCAAGCCTGAAATTCCAAGTCCCGCCCAATCTCGGCCCGGGGCCCAGGCCAGTCCCAACCCATCCTTAGATAGCGGCAGTGATGCTTTGAAGTGAGGTTGAGGCAGGCGTGGACTCGGGCTCGGCCGGGTCCGGGCGGGCCGGTGGTTCAGAATTGGTGGACCCGGGACCGGCCCGGGTAGCCACCAAGTCCGGGCCTCCGGTTTGGTTTTTTTTTTTTTTTTTTTTGCTTTCCTAACCCCCCCCCCCCCCCCCCACCTCCTCCCCCCCCCCCCCCCAAACCCCTCCTCACCATCAAGCCCAACCAGGGTGGAACCCCAAAAAATGAAAAAAAATGGCCCGGGCCCGACCCGGCCAGGCCGGTTCACCAATTGTAAGATCCGAGCCCGGACCCGCCCCCTGGGCATAGGCCCGACCCGGACCCGAGAACCGGGCCGGGCCGGTCCACGGGCCGGGTGGCCCGACCCAAGTCCACCATTAGGTTGAGGCCCCGAAATTGACACTAGCTACATTTTTTATAAAAGACAAGGACAAAAATCAAAGTGGCGATGGCATGGATGGCAACACCGATTAAGCTGTCGGATTGCTAACACAAATTTGGGCTGCGATGGATTGTAGCACCGACAAGGGAGGCAGTGGCAGGCAACTACAAGGGATGCTGCAACAGGCCATTCTGGCATTATTTTGCCCCAGCAAAAAAATCCTTTTCCTAGCAATCCATTCATGCGCTTCCCTATTCCTAGCAAAAATTTGGAGGCATTATGTTTATCTGGTAGTTGCCCTAAAAAGATTTCAATCTCGTATTTGCTAACAAGCCTGTTTGGTATGACGTAATCAACCATGTAATGTAATGAGCATTACATATTTACATGTTGATTTGATTACGATGTTTGATAAGTCATTTTATTTTAAACTGTAATGTAATGGTCATTGCACATGTGGATTTCATTACTTTGATATGTGTAATAAGCATTACACTAAACAAAATGTGTATTTGAGATTACAGCTTAGTGTAAACGCAACACACGCGCACGTACACACCCACCCACTCCACTCACACACATCCACATCCACCCACCACACCCACCCGGCCCGGCCCGGCCCGCCACCCACACCCACACGCTCAGCCGCCTCCCCCCCCACCGCCCCCCCCACCCATCCAGACCCCCACATCCACACCCGCACAACCGCACACCCCCTTCACCCGCCACACACGCACCCCCAGCCGTACCCGCCCACACGCACCGCTCCCTCCCGCGCACGCGCTCACACACAACACACACAATTTAGTCTAATTCTAGATTTAGATAAACAAATAATCATAATTATGTAATGTTGATTACAATTGTTGTTACTTAAGTAACCACACATGGTAATGGAATAGAGATTCCATTACATTACACTACATTTTGTATTGCATTACCCACTTCATTCCATTGCATTACATTACATCATATCAAAGATAGCCTTAGAGTCTGTATTCAGGCCCAAAAATAAAACAAAACAAAACAAAAATGAACTTGGTAGCCATTGAGAAACGGAACTGGTTGGTTCGGTTCCCAAGTATACAATCCAGAACTGACACTGCCCTATCACGGACCTTGTTTCATTACCTTACTATAACCACCAGTCCGGTGTGGTAACCGAGGAGAACCCTGGCCTGTTCCGATTTGATTCCAAAATTGTGGCCACCCCTAAATAGGTCATTAATCAAGCATCACAGGTGACTAGGTGAGGGAAGTGTTTGAACAAATTAACGAAGCCATAAAAGTCTTCAAAGCATGCTTTCTTTCTTCTCATTATTGTTCGAGGCAATGGAGTCCACAGTTATGAGGACTTCCCTAATTACAATATATTTCAAAGAGATGTAAATGTTGCACTCTCCAATTCACATCAAGCAGCTGCCTCACAGATGATAGCGCCATATCTCAGTTCAGACATTTTGTGAATGCATTTAATCAAATATCGCCTGTGCTTCAATTATGCTGTGCTGACTGTTGAAATTCACACACAAAAAAAAACTCTTAAAATCCAAATACAGAACCACATCAGATACATGGGATTTGCAAGGAGAGCCTAATGCCAAGGCGGGGGTGTTTTCTTCCTATGCAACAATTATTAACAAGTAAAGCATCATTTCGGCATTTCCTACAAGTACATGAGAACAACAAATTCTATAACACTGTTGAACTTTGATCAATAATTTTAATAGGTATATTATTTATTACTCCTTCCGTCTCATTGGACTTTGCCTACTTTCTTTTTTATTTGTCCCAAAACTTTATCACTTTCCTTTTAAAGTAATGAATTTGTGGTTCATTTATTTCTCTCTCATCTGTACAAATCTCAACCACACAATTTTTACTTTTTTTCACCTAAATCAAAGTTGGCATGTCCAATGGGACAGAGGGAGTAACATATAATCAGATTTAAGGTCTTGGGAGCTGCCTCTTGTCATAATGAAGAGGGAAGACTTTCACCCTATACACTGTTGTCCTAATCAGATTATAGTACTATTACTTATCAAAAAGAACAAATTGTAACAATTGTAAGAGACATCTTAACAAAAAGAAAATTTTTAAGTACTTTCACATTATAAATCATTGTGCATAAAAATTTATTTTTGGTCAGGATAGAAAAAAAATTGACCAGCCAAACCAATTAAACAGATGTGGCCTATACAGACTGTAGTACAGTAACATGTGTAACAACAAGCTGAAGACTTAGACTTACTGGTCATCCTTTGAAATACGGTAGTACTTCTCTGCATGCTGTCGTTGACCAATGAGTTGAGCAAACCGCTCGTCGTGTGTGATCACAATCATTTGAAAATTCTCCTGTCCCTTTCTGTCCTCCATGATCCTGCAGAAGACCACTGTGGATATGAATTTGTCTTCCACTCACAAACCGCCAATTTGTAAATATAATAATAATTACCTTAGAAGTGCTGCAGCAAGACTTTCAGAGTTTGGGCCATCAAGGTTTGTTGTTGGTTCATCAAGTGCCAGTATCCCACAGTTTAAGCAAAAAGTTTCCGCTAATGCCAACCTTATTACTAGTGACGCAAGCACCTGAACATGTAGCAGTAATAATAATAAAAATAATAAATACCAGTAATAATAATAATAAATTATTATTGTAATAAATCATTACCAAAAAGTCAACGCTTGGAATATAGCTTATGTACCAAATTCACATTATAGACCTTAAAACCTAAATCAAAGAACATGAATTACCTTTTGACCAGCACTACACCTGCCTCGCATTTCAAGTTCTGTTTCTCCAGTTTGCATCAGTAACTATCAAACAACAAAACGAATAGTTCAGCTCCCAATCACTAACATAGATAGAGGGGGCAACCACCAACTTCAGGAAAAGAATGTTTTACTTTAATGTGAAAATCCATGACTGAATTAATTTTCCAGCCCACCCTCGATTAGAATTTTGGGGCTTCTGCATACAGCCTAAGGCCATTACTTCAAAAGTAAGGCGACAGCCACACATTCAAAAATCAGAGTTCAACATCACATGTTAGCCCATGTCGCATTATACATATTTTTTGTTCATACCAGGTGATCCCAACTTCACTGGGCTAAACCTGGGTTCTCAAGAACCCACCACAAACCCTTGCGAGAAGTAAATCTAATTCACTCGAACAATCTGCTAGATTCCCATCGTGCACAAGAAATTGCTATCTGATTGATTACATGTGTCCTCAGGTTCCCAGCACTCTCAGGAGAACCGACACTGATTATTTAAACATCATCGCATTTTCATCAAGAAACTAACTCTCACACCGTCACTTGAACTCGAGACCTCCCACAAGAGTAAGATCTTACATGTGGGAACTGGGAAGTGGTCCGCTTGGAACACTCCCACTTTTTAGGGGTTGGTACTTTACATTTTATGTAAATATGGTCTTATGGACAAAAACTAACAGGTATGCAACAATTCAGGTATGCAATTCATTTATTCAACATTAAATGCCTGCATGGGATTTTATAGTTGCACCTTGCATCTAAATTAATCGAACAATTAGTTCAGTGGTGGATAAAAACAAATGATTGCATGACAAAAACGCACTTTCAGTCCCTCAAATAGTACTCGCAATGACATGTAGTCCCTGTGTATTCAAATCTGTAAATGTCACCCCTTAATTGTCTAAATTGTTGTAAATGTGATCCCTTGAAATGTCACCCCTCAATTGTTCGAATTGTTGTAAATGTGGTCCTTTGAAAGGTATCATTTACAATGTGGGCAAGGATCACATTACAACAGTTCGGGAATTTGAGGGGTGAAATTTATACAATCCAAAATCATAGACTACATTTCAATGCGGACACTATTTGAGGGACTAAAACTGCGATTTTCCCAAAATGCCTTTTTAACCTTTCAGCCATTACTCGACTGATAAAGAAATATTAAACTAAATGATCTGAAAGTCTAGAACACCTCCAACATTCTCCATATAAAGGGCTCCTAGGGTTGGAAAGCAATTGTAGTGAAAACATGGGTAATGTTTTGTAAGCCGTATTACAACGGAATGCAATATAATCAAATATGTTTCTAGTGTAAACTTAGATTTAATACATTACATTACATAACATTATGTCTTACCAAAGACACTTAGTTTAAAGCACGTGAGTTTTTTAGAATCATAGACGGTAATACATTTATTCTTAGCGCAAGTTATTTTTTTCACTTCATTGTCATCTTTCTAGCGGCTTCTAACTCCCTGGTACTTAACAATAGATAAACAAATACGCCATTTGTCCAGCAATTAAATTCTCAGTTTCTCACTTTGACTAGCTCACATATTGAGGTCAGTCAAATTTTTCGTCCCTACTTCGCCCCTACTTCACTAATTTATGCTTTTCCTTCTGATTTCTTGTTGTCCTTGTGGGAAAGAGAACTTTTTTGGGGGACATGTGTAAAAGAAAAGCAAGAACGAAATTGCGGGGCAGAGAGAGTGGATAATAGAAAAATAAATGAAATAGAATGGCAGTAATAGTTGACGACAGTACTGACCTTATAGCTATAAGATCGAGTACCATAAACTTCAGAGTCCGAATGAATGCTTATGTAATCTATATCTTGTCCCCTGTATGTCTGTTGCCAGAGCTCACGAATAATCTTATTGATTTCTTCCATCTTCATTGTGTGGAATCGCATGAGTGCCCTGAAACAATCATGCCCAAGAAAAAGTTAACTGCTAATGATTTAAGGGAAAAGGTCCAAATAGACCCTTTTTATTTCAAATTCAGCAAGTCCATATACTAAAAAAGGTATCATGTAAACACAATAACTTTGAAAAACAATCAATCCGGCCATTTTACATGTTTTGACCTGCTATAGCAGATTAGTAGATCTTTTTTAGAAAATTGACAGAATGCAAAGAAAAAGTGTAAAAATTTATAAATGTAAAAGTTTATATTTTTTGTGGGTTGGAAATTCATGTAATCTACATTTCTATATGTTTAACTTAATATTTTTCCATTTTAACTTTACATTACGATTCAATTTTAATTTTTTATTTAACGTTTTGAAATTATTTATCTGTTTTGGTATTTTTTTATATTTATATTTCTATGTTTTTCAAAATAATGACTTTACAAATTTATAAAGTTTCTTTTTCAAAAAAAATAACCTGTAAAATGGTAAAATTGATTGTTTTTTCAAAGTAATAGTGCTTCTATGACATTTTTTTAGTATAAACACTATTTTGATTGATTTAAAATAGTAGAAGGATCTATTAAGACAATTTCTTATAATAATTTATCAACAAGAAGACTAATTATAGATATATAACAAGAATAATTGAGTAGAATAATAAAAATTGCAAGAACCATCACAATGTTGTAAGATATGTTGTGATAACCATCACTAATACAAGGGATCTATCTAATCCATCTCAATTGACCACATCTGACATTTAGCCACTCCCAAAATACACATGTGTTTGTGTTATAGTTTGAGGAACTATTCCATAGGATGCAACCGAAATAGAGTTGATATGCTGAGTTAAATGTATAAAACAAACAGAGGAAGA